TGCAGCTCGTGCGTGGTGTGTGGCACTACGCGAGACGCTCGTGAAGCTTGGATGGGAAGGCCTGAGCTTCGAGCCCGCGACCTTCATCAAGCGCAATGCGGAGGGCACGGTCATCGGGATCATGTGCCTGCACGTGGACGACTTCCTCACGGGCATCAAACAGGACGACCCGGAGGGCGTCAAGATCATGAAGGACCTGCAGAAGGATATCGACTTTGGCGAGGTCAAGTACGCGAGGAAAGAGCAGGCTACATTCTGTGGCCGGGCCTGCGTGGAAAGAGGAAAGAGCAGGCGAGGAAAGAGCAGGCGAGGAAGAGCATCGTGGACTACGAATGGTAGTTGGACAACTGCAATGGGCTGCGCGAGTGATATGCTTCGAGGAAGCCTTCGAGGCATCCCGACTGGCATCTACGCTGGGAGCTCCGACGGTGAAGGACCTACAGGACGGCAGCGCGGCCGTCAAGAGGATCCAGAAGCGGACCGACTTGCTGGCTAGGTTCTCAGCAGGCCTGAACCTGTGGAAGACCATGGTGATCAATGTCACCGACAGTGCTTTCGACAATCTGCCGAAGCACAGATCACAACGCGGACGCTACATCATGCTGGGCGACCAGAAGATCAACGAGGACCACAGTAACAAGTACGAGGTACACTGCATTTGGTGGCAGTCTTCCAAGATTCAACGAGTGGTGCGATCTACTCTATCTGCGGAGGCCTACTCATGTGAGGTTTCAGTGGGCATGCTGATATGGACGAGGTCGACCCTGGCGGAGATCCTGTACCCGGAGATGGACATGACCGAGATTGTGCACGACACCTGCCCAGTGAAATGCATTTCGGTGACCGACTGCAAGAGCCTATACGACACGATCACAAAGGAGAAGATTTCTATGACGGACAGGAGGCTTTCTTTGGAAGCGGCTATATTGCGGCAGTCACTCAAAGAGGTCAGCATCAAGTGGGTCAAGAGCGAGCAGATGCTAGCGGACTGTTTGGCGAAGGTATTTCCAGGAGGCTACGCGAGGGAGATAGTTGCCTCAAACCCGTGGGCTCTTGGGCCTGATGACAGGGCGCCATCAATACGCGGACGAAAGCTTGTTGGACCAGAGAAGGTGGCAGCCAACAAGGAGGTGGACGAGCTCAACGCGAAGATGGCCAAGTACGTCAAGCAGGAGCTGTACGATGACACCGGGAAGGACGACGAGGAGATCTCTACGTGGCCGGTGGAGACGTACAACTCCGTGGACGAGTGCTTCTACGACGACAAGGACGAGCTTCAAGACGAGGACTACGTCGAGGCATTCTACACGGAAGAGCTAACGGACAATTACCCGATGGAGAGGAGTGGCGCGCAGAGAACCATCCAGAGACCTGGCCAAGTTGTAGTTATGTTTCAACTTTGTGCGCTTGCAGTGTATGGAGTCTGTCTTTCGATGTCTCCTACGGTGGTGACAGTAGTCTCTATCATCGCGGGTATCATCATATTCATTTACGTAATGCAGCCTAAGCAGAACGACGACGGGGACATGCTTGATCCGATGGAGGTGGATAGTTCAAGCAGCGACAACCTGTTCAAGCCGGAGTTGCCCGAGAAGCCAGTCAAGGTCAAATCCAGGACAGCGAAGGCTACACCAAAAGCTACGACGACAACACTCGCAGTGCGAGCCGATCCAGAGACCTATGATGATGAGATCATGGGAGATGGACCAATTATGCTGGGAGACAGTGCTCTACTGAGGCAGTGGCTGGAGACCATGGGACCGACGATTATCAGGAGTGGCAAGTACGAGGGCGATAGCTATGAGACGATCTATACGAAGGACAGGCACTACGCACATTGCCTAGGACGGTGTCTCAAACTGGACGCAGACGAGAGCAGGAGTTATAATCTCGACCCGAGTACCAAGGTTTACATTGCATACAACATCATCAAGTCAGCAGTGCGTGTGCGCTGATCATCACTACTACATATGTGACGATATCTTGGAGCCAGCCAAGGCAGTGGCTCAGATGTGAACGGTGATGAGGATGATGAGTGATCTGGGTTACCATTTTCAGATGATGAGTGATGTTTGGCCACCATCTACAGATGAGAAGTGAAAGCACCCCCTCAAGAGCTCAGGTAAATATTTTATAGCTTAATATATGTTGCTGGGTGCGCAGACCTCAGGTAAGGATTTGTTTATCTGTTGCTCGGTGCGCAGACCTCAGGTAAGGATTTGTTTATATGTTGCTCGGTGCGTTGATTTCTTTTATATTGATATCTATTGTTTGATACACGGACGGTAGTTTGACCGTTCGGGCAGAGATTATTGTATTTCTTTTCTTTGCTATATGTTGCTTGGTGCACGGACGATAGTTTGATCGTTCGAACCAATAATCTTATTCAATATTCTGGAGGCTTGCTGCCGAATTTGCCAAGGCATTATTTAGCAACGTTTCCTTCTCCTGTGTGAAAGTTATATTAGCAATGATGTGAGTTATAGGATGATGTTTAGAC